GCATGCAGGAGAGCTCAGACGGCACTTACTACGTTACCATGAGGCAATGTGTTCCAGTTAACAAAAACCTTGACATCGTTTGAGATTACTGCACTCGGGAAGTGTTTTCATGTCTTTCTTCGCCTTCTCAGTCACGTTTTGGAAGCCATTTGGTTTTGCAGGCCTTAGGGATGGATCCTTTTATAGGCTGTGGTCATGAGATTGCTCAATGCGTGTCTGTCGTTGGCTCATTTTGCAAATTGGATTATTCATTTGTGCCACAGAAATAATAGCTGTGGAAGATGCTTTTGAATGGGGATTAGTTTAACAGGGGCCTGATCTCAGTTGGGGTTTCTAAACTCTACAGCCACATCCACACGAGCAGGGATATGTTTTGCGGCAGCACAAATAGTCGTGGTGCAAATCTGTGCCCCTAATATGTGCCGCGGTGCAGGCCTGTGGCCGTGTGCTTTGTAGTGGTATGCGTCCCCCTGCTGCTTCATGTGCTGCAGAGGGGGACTGGCTGGGGCGCAGGGTGCCTCAGTAGGGGCTAGCCATCCCTGGTGCTAAGGCACCCTGTGCCCCAGCCAGCCAGGGAGTGGCACATGGGACAGGGGAAGCAGGCAGCCCATAGCTGTCTGCTTCCCAGTCTTGAGCCACACTGGCCCAGCCGGCTGCTCCGCGGGCAGCTGGGGCGCAGGGCACCTCAGTGTGGGGGCTCCACAATACATGGAGATGGGAGAACAGGCAGCCCTGGGCTGCCTTCTCCCCCGTCTCCACGTTTGTCCCAGTGCCTGCCACTGTTACATGGGTTGCACCACTTTTTTTTCCCCATTTTTTTTTTTTGCTACTGGGAAATCCTGGCAGCAAATTTTGCCCCAGCGCTGCAAACGAGCAGTGCTGCACACTAATTAAGGTGCAACTTGTGCGGTTTGTGGCACTGCAAAGAGGTGTGTAGTGCCACAAACCACACTTCCTGCACATCTGGATCCAGCTTGCTGGAAAAGAGAGCAAGGGAGAGTTCGCTATGCCATGGCATTTCTGCAACTGTTCGGCAGTGAATTGTTTCTCGTTCTGGAAAGCTTACATACATCCCTGATCATCATTTTCCCTAAGTTTTCCGTCCAAGAAGGAAAGGCTTCTATTGTTTCTAGTAGCTAGTGCTTCCTCCTTCCTGATTTCTTCCAAGGTTTTCCAGTTCGTCTTTCCATCTTACCCTCACATTGCCAATACTATCCTGCAGTTCCATGGGGGATTGCTGTACTCCTCCCCCTACTTTTTAATCATTTTTTTATTACTTTTTTATTTCATTATATTGTTTCCTAGAAGATCAGTCGAGTTTGAATTTCTTTTTAAGAAGTATTTATTTTACCCTATTTGCCCGTCAAAAGCTCCCAATAGGGGCATGCCAAGCTACATTCCTGCCTTTCTCTCTCATATTCTTCTCACAGTTGTCTGCATAAATATGGGTCTGTTTTGACAAGCACATTTCTTATGCCTTTTAACCCTCTCCATGTCCTTTTCCTTCTTTGCTTCTCACGCCAGATTAAGTATGACATCTGGGATCTTATAAAGGAGGGTGTTTTGAAATATCTCTTGAGAAACATGATGTTTTCACATTTTTCTCCTTCCATGTTTTCAAAATATTTTTGGCAAGTCACAGAAACTTTTCCAGGAATTTTCACGAGCGGGCTGACCAATCGTTCTTTATCTTCATGAAGTGGTGTCAAAAGAATAGGAGAATTTTGGGAGGTGACATCTTCTATAGGACCAACTCTTGACCAACTGTTCTTCTTGCCCTGAGGAAGGGGTACCTGATTGCCCCACAAAGCTTGTGTAAGATCTCTCCCAGTTATACACTTGGCCCAATAAAATGTATCACCCCCAAAATCCTTGCCCCTTGCTTATTTCCTGGACCAGCACAGCTATAACAATACTCCAACATTTAGAATGACTCATTCTTTAAATGTGGAGCGTGGCAGGGCACTGTGGGTGTCTGCCATTTTAAGGGCCTGAAGCTGGCAGCCAGCAGGTGCCTGATGAGGGCAGCTGTTTTGGATCCAGGGCTGCCCATATAAACAGGGCATTTTGCTGCTGGAAAGCCAGGCAACAACATTGCCTGGCTGCAAGGCCGCTGGTATCATCTGGAGCTAAGGGAGGAGCTGTAGGGGATGGCTAGGAGGCTCCTGGTCCTGGGCATGACCTAAAACTGCACCCTGCTGGGAGGGGGTAGCCTGGTGGGGCTCTCAGTGGTGCAGGAGCCCCCAGAAAATGCCAGCCCAGTGACCACCCTGGTGAAAGGCGGGTCGGGGCGCCTTAACCCCAGCTCTCACCTTCGTGTGGGTTAGGATATTGGAGGTAGTGGGGGCCAGGCACAGCTACAGCCACCTGAGCCCACCCGGGGAGGATCTCAGAGTAGCACTATGACCCTCTGCTCCAGGCGGGGAGTGAGAGTCCCCTGTGAGGCCCTGGAGCACCCGTCATGGTGCGAGTCACCCCATCTCCCCACACCCAGGAAGGGGGACCCGGAGAGAGTGTGGGGCTAGTGAGGCTGGGGGGTAGAGTACCCCCTCGACTGGTCCATGTTGGGGCCAGGACCAAGAAGGTCAAAAGGGCCAGGTGCCCACTGCGAGGGGCACCCAGAGTTGTGGGCCTGGGACCCCACCTGGCCTTGGAGGTGAGACCAGGGCCTGTGTATGGCTGAAGGTCCCGAGTGGGGACCACGCCCGAGAGGGGAGCCAGCTCCAAGGAGCTCGGCAGCCCAAATGAAGGTGCCATAAGCCGCCTGAGCGGCAGGATTAAAGGAGGATCCTGCCAGGAGGATTCTGGAGCCTAGTGGGGGGCTGGTGTGACTGATAATATCTGGATGCCATCTGCAAGGGTTGGGCCGCAGTGTAGGGTGGTATGGAGCCGCAGATGCCCCCCCTAATATCAGGGTGCAAAGAAAAATGGGCAGCCTCCCACCTTATTTAACAACTCATTAATTTTCCAACAAGGTGCGGCAGGAGAGAGAGGCGGATAGCATTCCCAGAGGCAGGTGGGAGGCCAGTGACATCTAGCCTGAGTGAAACCCACTTTGCCACATGGAGGTTTCTAAATAATGGATGCCTTTAACCTCCTCGGACATGTAGGCCACGGGGAAGAAAAATGGTCTTGAGGTTAGGCACTGAGCTGGGACTCGGGAGATTGAAGACATGTTCTTTGTGTGACATGGGGAAAACTAGATAATCTGTCCCTGGATGTGGACACATGCTTGTCTTCATTATGGCCAAAGAGAAAATGGGTCTGGCCAATAATGTATACAAGGGCTCATTTCCCACAACAGAGGAGAATGACGAGCTGATTGGAAGGACACATTTAGATAGGAAACAAATATACACAAGACAATGGAAAGTTTTTAAATAAGAGTTTTTTACAGGGCCAAAAAGCCAGGCTGCCCCAATCAAAAAAGAACACAACTGGTTCAGTAGGGAAGAAGGCAGCAATTGAAATAAAAAGAAATATGTAACAAATAAATGGAAAACCGGTGGAATAGACAGGAAGCAATGATGAGGGAAGCTAAAGAAATCAAGGGACAACCCATTGCTGGCACGACAAAGGGCAGTAAGAAGTATTTTTGTGTTAGAAATCCTAGCAATGACTTGACCTGATGGACACGATAAAATATATCCAGGGAGTTATAGTAGAGCAGCTCCTGATCCACCTAACCTATAATTCTTTAAAAACCAACTGCCTGGGAGAGGCAGTGGCCTGTCTATTCAGGCAATGCTGGGAGAGTCAGCTGACTTCATGACTCATTATCATCTCCCTGATTCCAGCTCTTCTTTTTCCACTCCACAGGTGTTAATGACTCCTCTCCTTTTTGTTGATCCTGCTGTTGCACAATTCAAACTATCCTTTCTTGTGCAAGTTTGCTGTCTATTAAACATCCCTATAATGCCTTCTATTCCACAGCCCTGCAGATTGTTTGTAGCTCTAGCTAAAAACATTAACACAAATGTGGGCATATTAACTCAGGGTATGGAAGATTCTCAGAAACAGGTGTAGAAATGTGAAGGTGTAGAAATGACTGATACTGGAATATTGGAGGCACTGTCAAGATACTCAATTAGGCTACATTTTGTTTTATAAATTTGAATAAGAGATGTACATTTAACTATAAAGACTACGGGACAAATGGCATCTTTTGACCAGGCAAAAAATAGTCAAAATAACTTCTTGTGATCTTTTTTCCCCTAAAACTTAATATATTATGTAGCACATTCATGCACATTCCAGATGTTATATTTGTTTTTGCTTTGATCTTAAACTGAATAATATAGCACTAGGCCCCTAGGATATTTTTAATGCTTGTAGTTTCTCTTTAACTGGAAAAAAAAGGGTTGTGTTGCATGTGATGATGTGTCACATCATCTGCGCTCCCATTTTCAAAACCCTAGATCTTCCCAAAACTATATAATTAATGATGTAGATAGGGCATAAGTATTCAATAAATATTTATCAGACATTTGGGAAAAAAATCAGGATGATGTGATTATATCGGGGTTTTTAAACTCATGTCGCCCTTTATAGTTTTTTCTTGTTTTTAAGGGGCCGGGGAGGGGGAGGAGGAAATCAAGGCTTCCGCGGTGAGGGAGAGAGTGGGGCTGGGGTGGGCACTGCACAACCAGGGCGAAGCGCGGGACAGAGCCATGGGCAGCTCATCCAGCATGTGCGAGGAGGGCTGGGGTGGCTTCTGCTGCGGCATGCACCCCAGGAAGGCATGTGCCCCTAGATCTACATGCGGGGCGAGGTGGGGTGGGGTGGCCTGCCATGTGGGCTGGGGCGGGGTAGTGCCGAGCTCTTCTTGGCTGGTGCTGGGCCAGGCTGTGCTTGGGTGGGCAGCAGCAGTGCTGGGAGGGGGGCTACAGGAAGGGCTGCAGCCACTCCAGATTTCACTGTAGCCCCCCCACCCCACTCCTAGTGCTGCTGCTGCCCACCCCAAGCACAGCCTGGCCCAACACCCCTACCAGGAATAACCCAGAGCTGCCCTGGTTCTAGCCTAGAGCGGCAGCCTGCCCTCACCATGCACGCAGATCCAGGGGTACATGTACCCCATGCCCTCCCGGGGGTGCGTGTAGTGGTGGGAGCCACCCCCCCTCCATGCACAGCTCATTCCTGCACCCCGCTCTGGCTGGGCAGCCCCGGCCCCGACCTCACTCCCTCCCCCATCTCTGGGGCCTCGATCTTCCTCTTCCCCCATACCCCTTCCCTCACAACAGACTTACCAGCTGGACCTGGCTACTCTCCACACTGCCGGACCATGCTCCTTTGCCACCTGCATGCTGCACTGTGGCTGCGCGCGCGCACACAGCATTTACCAGCCATATTATCATCAGCCCCATCAGTTCTGCATACCCCCTATAACCTTTTAAAGTCCCTACGGGCACGTGTACAACCCGTTGACAACCACTGGATTATATCATATGAAGATGATGAGCTACTTTACTGTGCTGGAAGAAATTGATAAACCTCATCTAATAGAGATCAATGTTCTCTAATCAGCCTCTTGGCAAAGGAGATCACTCACCTGCTGATATAAATAAAGACCAGAAGAGTGCTAATGCTAGGCAAATATTTCAAAAGAGCATGTACAATATCCCAGGTAACAATTGGCTAGTTAGTCAGATCCCAGTCCTGGGCAAAATACTGGATAAAGCTGATTGCAATACAATTGGTGAAGTATGAAACGACAGAGATATAATTATTTCCACTCAACCATGGTTTTATGGAAAAATAGGCCACGTCAAACAGACCTGATTTCATTCCTTGATGAGATTATCGTTTTGGTAGAAAAGCATAATTGTGTGGGTGTAAGACTCCAGAGAGGCATTTGATGTAGTGCCGCACAGCATGAAGAGATTACCACCATGCAATATTAATAAAGCACACAATTAGGACTTGGTGAAATGACAGATATCAAGTGCCCAACCTCAGTGTGGGCGAGTGTCTTGAACGGTTCTGTCAGAATTGGTACTAGACCTGACATGGTTCGGTATTTTTATCAATGCTCTGGAAGTGAATATTATTATTAATATTATTTAGATTTATACCTGCCTTAGGCAGAAAGGCTTCAGAGAGGCTTAGAATAAGTGGTGGACAGGCCACCCGGAAGAAACAAGTGGGATCCCCGAATAACCCTTCAAAACTGGGAAACATGACATCGCAGCTGATGCCCGCAGGCTGGCAGAGCAAAAAACAACGCTGTGCACAGGGCAGTGGTGTGGAGCAGTGGGGGAAAGCCAGGCCCATTCAAATACAATGGGGTTTTAATAGTGCTTCCTACCGTGCTGTCCCCGTAGGGACCAGGAACGAAGATGGCCGGGGTTAGGGGAGGTTGCTTTTGCTTGTCAGCCTCATTTAAGGTTTTGACATGTTTTTCTCCATGCAGTAGCTGACTCGAGAGTGCAGTGACCCAGGGCTTGTCCGTGCTGGGTGCTTCTACACATGCAATTAATTCAAAGCAATCAACCCCAGTGCAGTTTGCACACCCAGAAGCTTGCTGGTGTTTCTTTGTGCCCGCTCTTAGGCACCTGGTCCTCATCCCGCTTGAGCATGACGACCGGACTGGACTTATTGCTGACTTTGGAGCCTGCTGGTGGGGGCAGGTGGGGGGCAAACCAGGTGCTGGGACTTACTACTGCTGTGATGTAGACCAGCTCATAGTGGGCAGGACCTTCTTTGCCCCACGTGACTGAAAACAGATCCGTCAGAGTTGGGAGCCCTGCAGTGCCCTAACCATGCAGCTATAGCATCCGAGAGTCTCTCTCTCTTTCTCTCTTTCATTCGTTGGCAGTCATCAGTTCTGGGGCCCCTAAAAAAACCCCCCATTTTGAGTGCAACTTCATTGACCCCGCTCTCTATGGAGTCTCCTGGTTGCAGTGGAGCAGGCCATGTATCTCGGGGCAGGTACATCATCAGTTGGTGTGAGCACAGACGTGCCTCTTTTTCCTACGGTTGCAACATGGTGGCAATGCATGCATTTTACAAGTAGGATGCATCTTGGTGCAGAACTATCCAGCAGTATAATGTGTGGCAGGCGAGCAGGGCACCAGCTCTGCAAGCTTATGGAGGGGGGAGCATGAACAGCAGCTGCCCCTGCAGCTGCTATAACGCACCCACCTGCCTGCTGCCACCCAAGGCTCAGCCCCTGGAACGGTCCATGTCTCCTCGTCCTTAGTGACATTTCCTCCCAGTCATTCCAGTATGCCGGGGCTTTTCCACTGAGTGCCTTGCTTTACCTCAAATGCCCTTGCTTTCCGTGCCCAGCAAGAGCCATTTTTATCTGAGTGTCTTCAGCACATCACGCTGGAAAGGCTGTGGCTGAAAAGCAGTGGAGGGTATCCCCCGGTCTGCTGCTTGTAAAGCATCCCAAAATAACCCTGGATCTCATTCAGAGAGCTGCGCAGTCACGATGGAAGATGAAACCAACCATGCAGCGTGGGCTTAGGGGTGCACAAATATTCACTGCCTAATCTTCTCCCTTCTCCCCGTACGAAGGCAGGGCTAAGCGAGGGTCAGTCTCTGTTCAGCGCAAGGTGAAGGCCCCGCTCTAAATCAGTTCAACCATTCCTTGTGCAGGCGCGGTTCACAGTGTCATCTTCACTTCCTGCCCTAAATGATCATGTGATACCGTTGTGCTTAAAGGACGTGCTGCAACGACAGTGCCCAGCTCCCCTCCGTAGGTAACCGCATTTCAGTGCCTGGTGATGGAGTTGCTCTTGGTGCCCATGCATGCGTTTGGTAAGGATGCATTGGCAACCTACACGCAAGTTGCCCGGGCAGGAGTCCTATCTCTGTTACGACACTGCCTTTTAGCTTGTGCCAGATCATAACTACACTTGTGACTATGCTTTTGGTTATTATACTGCAGCGTCTTGGCCAAAGAACCGCTTTCCTGAGTGTTCCCATCTCCCATTTCAATCCCTCGATGCCCATAGGTAGCATGCAATGCATTTACATGTCAGCCTCACTAATGAAGACCTGGTTGAATGTCCCAGAAGAAATTTTAAAGCAGCAGTTAAAAATAAAATACAACCCCTGCCCCTCCTCTGCCCCAAAGCACAAACTCCTCTGGAAACTATTAACTTCCTTCCTGCATATTTACATTGGTAAAATATTGCTACCACCTGATGCGTTTTGTTTTTGGCTCCAGGTCCTATTTTTCCCCCCGCTCTCAGGAGGAAGAAATTGCATGCATTTCCAAGATCTGGAAGAGATGTCAAATAAAACAAGCTGCAGTTAGTCGCATGGGTAAAAAGTGGTAAAATAACCGTCCTCTAGAGGAACCGAATAACAGATTCCTCTTATATTAATAAACTCTTATATGCATACGCTATTAAGAGACCTCGGTGTGGTGGTTCTGATCAGCTTGACACACCATCTCCAAGTGAGAGGAGTGCTGTAATATCCTGCAAGGAGGAGGCTGCACCCTGTATAGTCCACTTGACACGGTATTTGGGGTTGTCCTTTTCCCTTCCAGTCTGATAGGTCTTCTTTCCTTCCTGGGCTCTTGGGATCTTTCCTCGTCTCCCCCGGATCATTTACCCTGAAGACCCCACATCAAACGAGAGGACAACCTCCATGCTGGTGGATTGCTGGCTGAATTTAGCCACCAGTTTGAGCAGAGTCCCAGCTGGCCCTGTATGCACTTCCCCCTCCCAGATCTTGCTCTGAGTTGGCTTCAGCTCGGTCTTGGCATGCCCAATGACGAGAGCTTTGTGGGCTTTGGGCATCTTGACCCTAAATGTGACCCAGCTTTGTTCCTGGAGCACGCCAGTTCTGGGCTGTAGCAGTATGCACCCTCTCCTCCACAGGCTGTACACCCTGGGGAAAGGGGGCCACCGGGGGTTGGAGAAACAGCGGATGATGTAGTCGCAGACATGGGCAAAGTCCTTATGGTCCTTGTTCCTGCCAAAGAGCCCCACTTTGTAGATGCCTGGCTCAGGAAGCAGGATGCACACGCTGACCTTGTTTCTCAGGTGAGTGAGGAGGACGTATCTCTCCATGGGGTACTTGGTGTTGGTGACATTGTCCTTGCTCAGCACGGCTGCCACTTCGACGTCGGGCCGTGCGTGGAAGGTGATATTACACTTGCCCTGCATGGTGGTGATGATGGGGGCAGAGTGGCTGGGGTTGGAAAGGCCCCTTCCACGGGTGTAAGTCCCGCTCCCACAGTGCATGCTGAGGCCGGATGGGAAGAGCTCGTTCCGATTGATGGGGCTGGAGCAACGGATGAGGAAGTTGGCTGCATTTTTGAACGCGGTGTCTCCTAGATCTTTCACAAACACCGAGAGCCGGTAGTAGCCCCAAAAAGGGCACAGCACGTGGCAGCTCAGCTTGTCTTCCTCTGCTTGAGATGCCAGGCACTTCTTGCTCAGAGAAGTGTCTAACTCTTGATGAACCAGCTCGTATGTGGCCAGCAAGGGCCGCGTTGTCTGTAGAGTCAAGAGCAAAGCTCCCCTTGCAGCGACCACCAGGTCCCCTCTCCAGCTGCAGTCCTCGATACCAAAGTCCTTCACCTTTTGGTGAAGGCCCCAGAAATGAAAGGGGTTTTCAGGCAGGTTTTCTCTACTGATGGGCTCCAGGCACTGGATCTGATAGGAGCACACCCAGTGATAGGGGCCTGGAGAGTCTGATGGCCGTGCAAAGACCATCAAGTCGAACAAGCCCTCCGTTGGGGGGGTAACTTTGAGAGTCATGCTCTGCTTGGACACGGTCATCATCCCATGAGTCGTACCCATGTCATCTTTGCTAACTTCACCAGAGAGCTTGGAGAGGTGGTAGCTAAACTCTGTTGGATGTGCACTCTTCAGGGCCACCGTGGCTTCCCCATGAGCTGTAGGAAAAGGGTTGGAAATACCTTTTAAGTGCATGGCTCAGCATAAGCATCATGGCTTATTCGTTTTGTCTCTTTTTGTTAACAACTGTGACACACACGGTGGAAAACTTTGCATATGCAGCATGGGACTGGGAGCCTCCAGGGGTTTGAGGTGATAGAAACTAAGGGCTGGAAGGGACCTCGAAAGATCGAGTCCTGCCCCTGTGCCTGGCTCTTCTAAGATGGACCCAGAGCTATCCCCTCCTTCCCCGTGTGCTTCAGTTTCCTTTTCTATAGAACAGGGCAGATGGTATTTGGGCTCCTGGGGCAAGCACTTGGGGTAGGACTGTCAGTCACAATGCAGAGATCCCCCAAGATATTCTCCTGTTCATGTCGCGAACTCTATAGAGCTCAAGGCAGCGCCGCACAGAGGTATTGCAAACCGAATAGCTGTGTTAGCATGGTGCTGTCCCTAGGCAAATTAGCTCTCCTGAGGATGCCACATGCTCTACAGACCTCGGAGACCTCCAGATAAACGGCTGTCGTCAAGCAAAAGATGGTGGCAGTTAGGTCAATCTCATGAGTCCTCAATATTAAGGGGAGTAGTTATTCCCCCAGTCATTTCCACTTACGTGACAAACCCGGTGTCCCATCCTGAGCTAATTTTACAGTAGCTCTCCCACTCGAGGCAGACATCAGAGGTACAGGTCTGATGTGCTGTCGTCATAGCAGGAGCGCAGCTGGGAGGATCAGAAGACTCCAGCCCAGCTGGTAGGAAATCCCACTGCTCTCCGCCAGGCTGTACGAACAAGTTCAGTTTTTCCAAGTTTTTTTTTTTCTTTCTTTCTGGCTCCCCTACCGCTGAGAACATCCATGTGCTGTTGTCTGGGAGCCAAATCTAACCCAGCAGGAGGGAAATACAGGAGTTGCACTGAGGGCTGTATTCTTGCCTGCACCTGATGCTACTCAGAGCTCAGCTATACAGCTGAGATAGCGGTGCTGCAAATCTTTGAGTTTGCCAGAAGAAATGTGCATCTCCGAGTCACTATTTTTTCTTGTCTTGATTCTTTTTAACGTCAATAAAATATAGCACATACGTGGCCTATGTGATGTATAACATGTGCATCCATACATAGGTTATATGCAGGGATGGTGCCATGCATATGTATATATTTTGATTGAATTTGCCTACATATGTGCACGCACATAGACATGCCTACATATGTGCACGCATGCAAAATGCACAACATCCTTTAAAACTAAAGGTGATTAGATGGGGGAATAATTATATCTGCAGAGACGAGGATAATGTCCATGTCTCTAGAAGAGGTAGCACAATGGGTCTGTGGGATCGGGGCACTGGCCTCAAACGAATATAGTAATGATGGTAAGAGATGTTATGGAGGCTGCTGGGATAGTGGCGTCGGTTCTGAAATATCTCTGTTACTTGACCTTCATGCTCCTGTTCAGGAAAGCAGTGGGGTGGATCTTTCATTATCCATTGGGTTGCTGGGGAGGTTATAAAATGCTTGCTAGCCAGTATTTTAACCTGTGTATGGACCCAGGTAAGCTCCAGTTTTATGCTTTTTGCAGACACCAGGTTTGCTTAGCATATTTTGGATATCAAGTGTCCCCACAGCAGCAAACCCTCCATGAAGAGGCCACGGGCCTTGCTTGCTGAGCCTTGCATGGTTCCAGTGAATGAGACCTCACTAGAGGTTTCCAGAGAAGAAAATACCTCCCTTCGTCTTCCACAACCAGGCTGCTTTGCTGTTTGTGAACCCTTCCTTTTTTAGACATTGAAAGCTTCTCATTCTAGTAGCTACCTTTTAGGGATCTCCTTCTGCTTTTAGAAAGATGTGGTTGATACATCCTTGGCTTTGCGGCAGCACAAGCAGAAGCCTCTTAAACTCTTCATCTTCTTCAGCCTCTGCAGAGGAAGAAAGCTTTCCCCCTTGGTTTAGAGAGCATGAGAAAATGGGGCCTGGATGTCTCTGATGCCTAGAGAGAGATGTTCAAGAGGCTTCATCAGGGCTCATTAATAGTTCTGCATCTCTGCTTTGGTCCTCGGTACATTTTTCAGGCATAACGCCTCCGAGTGCTTCCACCAAGTAACAAGCATGCTTACTTATCTGCATTTGTGCAACTGAATTGCAAACTCTGACGCTCTGGTTCAAAGGCATTTTGCATCTACTCTATCCATGTAGAAAAAGAGAAACACAAGAGGCCACAGAGAATCAGGCCCACAATCCCCTTTTCTTCTAAGGGACACCAAAGCACTCGACAGACCATGACCTCAATTACATAAGGTACTTATATGTGCTTTAGTCCCACTGACTTCAAAAGTCCCCAAAGTGAAGTGTATGCTGAAGTGCTTTGCTGAATGGGGTTCTAGGAGTACAGGGTTCAATCAACCCCCATTTGAAATACAGCTGACTTGGAGCAGTAGAGAGGACACCGTAACAGAGAGGGAAATTTAACAATGATATTGTTGGGGCTCCGGGCATGGTCACAATACAAATGTAGTGTGCTAGGGTAGGGGTGTTGGTAGTAGCTGTGTTGGTCTAAGGACATAGGCAGACAAGGTTCTTTGGGTTGATGGGATATCTTTTATTAGACCAACTAAGTAGTTGGAAAACAAGTTCTTTGCAAGCTTTCAGGCACAAACATCCATCAAAGACAAAAATGTCCAATTACCTGTGGATGCCCACTTCTGCCAAGACCATCACTCCCTCTGACCTCCCAGTTCTAATTCTCAAAGGGAACTTACAAAACACCTTTCATAGATGATCCTACGAACTTCACTTCATCAATCCACTGGATACAAAAAATCATGGACTCAATATAGACATTGGATTTATGACACATTACAACCTGCCTGACATCTGATTCCCCAGGTACCTACCTGAAGCTTACCCTTTGCATTCCTTCACACATTTCTCCCCCCCCCCCCCACCACACACTCCCCTCCTATCTCTACCCGGTATCTTCCAAACTTCCACCTGCTGACATTTTCACAGACTTCTTGTCACACTTTTAGCTCTTGGAAAACTCAGAACAACAGCAGAGTTTCCCAGTGCCTGAAGAAGGGTGTTTGTGCCCGAAAGCTTGCAAAGAACTTTTTTCCAGCTACGTAGTTGGTCTCATAAAAGATATCACATCTACCCAAAGAACCTTCCCTGCCTGTGTGCTAGAGCAGTTAAGTCTTGCACACTGACACAAAAGGAAGCTTTTAATTACTAAGAGGAAATTTTCCGTATGGATCCTGATTTTCATTATTTGTCACCATGTCTGCGGTAGGCTGAGAAGAACATTTGCAAAGAATGGAGTGGTAGGGTTTTATTATTGCCTTGACTGCCCAAGTTGTGACTTGGCTCATGTAGTAAGTGCAAACAATAGTCTCCTGGCAGCTCTTCAGTAGAGACATCACTGATGACAGAATTTATTAACTGCAGGTTTGCTCGCTATTAAATTCAGCCAACGTTCGTTTCCGAAGCTGCTGCCCTGTTTGGCTGCATCATATGAGGATCTTTGGAAAGAAAGAAAAGAAAAGAACATTGTACCCAACCTAGCCAAAGATGGCGAGATATGGAACACAGTAACGAGCTCGGCTTTGGGAAGAAAGCCCTCAAAGATAATTAGCGGATATGTTTCAAACAAACATTTGTGGGGCGTTGAATTTATTCCACCAGTGAGCTAAAGATTCCTTTCTTTAGAAGAAATTAGGTGAAACCCGTGGATGTGTTCCAATGCAGTTTCCACATCAAGGCATTTAATAGTTTCCTACAGATGGTTGATGTGCGTTGGGCTAATTGCTTAGCAAAACACTGCAGTAACATGTAGACACATTTTTACTTTTCCAAAATATTTTAAAAAGCTTCCTTCCCCTTCTGCTATTGTATCTAAGGCATATGCCACTGATGACTGGTTTACTGGAGACAATGATGGAAAAGGTTCTGGTAAACCGATTGGATGAAATTTTGCTGTTTTCTTTCTGCTGTAGTCCTCATTGACCCAGATGTGATAAGCAATTAAAAAGGCTCAGGTTTTTTTTCCCCGTTTTTTTCCCCAAGGATGACGCTCGATATTATCTGAAAATCAGGTTCCTTTGAGAAATCTCAATTGAGTGCCAGAAAAGGAAGCAATCAAGAAAGCGTTGTATGTGGAAGTCTTATCCATGGGCTTTTAAGCTAATGGGAGTTGCACAAATTTAAATCTGAACAATATTAGGGAAAAATAGGCAGATCTTGTAATACAGACCTCACGCATATAATTTGCCCTAAAGTTATACTAGATTGTCAGCACTTTTTCCAGATATTAAGCTCCATTGTTGTAGGTGTACATTCACACCCAGACTCTTCATACACACAAATAGAGATCTTTATAAGGGCTGAGAAGGTTCACAATTTAGCTTTTTAAGCACTCATGAGATTGGGCTAGCTTTTGAGAATAATTTTAGTGGTCAAATCAATAGCATTGGTCAAAAGAAAGAAAGGGGGGAAAAATGGATTCTTCTAGGGAAAAAAAAGGTTGACTTCTCTTCCAAGGAAAAACTTTGCGAACAAAAATCAAAATGAAAATATCAATTGAAATCACAATTTCCATTTCAATTGGACAGTCCAGTATTTGAAAGCTGAAAAAGATTGACATGGGAAAGGTAGATATCCCTCCCTGTCTTCCCACATGCTTCCCAGGGGAGCCGATAACTCATACGACACGTAGGGTCCACTCGCAGTTCTCTTCTACCGGGGGACAGGAAATGTCTGGGGGCCACCTGATATAAATACCACACCTGAAAGGCTTGTGGAGCTGTGTAACATGTCCAGACAGTCATGCTTTCATGATCATTTATCAAAAACTTGCAAAAGTACTCAAAATGCTAGGCTTTAACAAACCTGTGACGAATTGAAGCAGCTGAAAAAGCAAATAGTCAATGAAAAGGGCATGTATCGGGGCCTTCATGTCCTGGCTGGTGAGAAATGCAATCAATGAGCAATGTGGACAAAGAAAAGGAGAGTGGCCCAGCCTCAAGCCAGAGGGCCTATCAAAAAAAATTAAAATGGAAGTGATACTTTTAGATCTTATACTCCACTAAGGATGAGTAGGGAGAAAATCAGACTCATAGAAATGAAGGGCTGGAAGGGACCTCGAAAGATCATCGAGTCCAACCCTTCTGCTCTGGGCTTGAGAAGGTTTCTCTATACAAACCCCTCTTCCTATGATCACAGTCCACTTGGTGTCGATGAACTCCCACCAGTGCCTAGACAGCTGAAAAAGTGGAAAGGCGTCTGCCGGTACTGGAAGTATTGAAGCGTGGTGCTTTGAAACGAATACAACTCTTGTTAGCAGTAGTTGCATGCTATGAAACCAGGCCTCGTGGAGCAGTTCGCAAAGAGTGTCCCGAGAGTCCTGGTCCCTAAGAAAGGATAACACTAAAACGAACAATTATAGTGGGGTCTTACCCTCCTATCACTGCCATCGAAGATCCATAGTAGGATGCTGCTGACTGGGATTGAACCCTTCGGTGCCCTTGTGCTAAGTGGGTTTTTAAAGCACAAGATCAATAAGGAACAGGTCCGCTGAGCGAAGCCGCTCCTCAGGAGGCCTTAGGACAAAATGCTGCCTTGAGTTGTGATTTTTTTTGTTGGTTTCTCAGAAGCGTTGATCTCTGCTGTCTGCTGCTGGCTTTTGGTAATCCTCTGGTACTCTGCGATTCCAAAACTCGTAGCCAAGGCAACTGGAAAGTCCCAGGAGAATTGCAGCTGTGCTGTTTGATTGGTGACTCAAGCACTAATTAGTTCCCGGTGACCCTGGATGCACAGCAAAGCGATGTCCTGGCTCCCTGTCTGTTTGCTCTCGTTGCGGATTATGTATTCAGTCGAACGGATCATTCATTTGGTTTCCCGGCAGACGCCTTTCCCACGTCTTACCAAATCACTGTCCTTTTGTTCATCCGTGATGCAGTTCTCTTGGACGCTGATCTCGACTCGAGGCAGAGCCACCTCGATGATCGGAGGCAAGCAGCATGCCGCACGGGCCTGGAAGTGGATACGGCCAAAATAAAAATTCACCGCACTTGGAGAATCCAGAGCAGTCTGGGGCAAAAAAAGGCAAATCTGATGCCTTTCAAATATCCTGAAATAGCCACCACTGAAAGCAACATCCAGTGTCAAAAAAATCCTTGCTTTAGCTGCATTGCAAAAAAAAAAAAGGGCCAAGCAGAAGAGTATTGTATTCATCCGTATGAAGGCTGCCCAACGCTGCCAGATGCTATTGCACGTGGATCCCAAACTTGGTTCGTGTCAGTGAAGATGTTGGCTGCTCTCAGTGCTGTTGGATGCGAGTGTGTGCATGTGTGTGCTCATCACACTCGAGTGCAAATGAAATGAACTCCTGCAGGAGACCACAGCAGAGCCTCCAGTGCCTTCACCGAGCAATGCAAAGAGGAGAGGTGGGTGGGCACCATCTCCAGTCACCAGCCAGGCAACACTTTTCCCTGCTTTGCTCTGGATGTTGCAGTGGCCAGGCGGCAGCAAAGACAGCCCCGTGAAGGGCAGTTCTGGGTGATGGTCTGTAAGGTCCCTTCTGGCCCCTACCAGCTATGCAACTATTCCCACTGGGGCTGTGGTCTTGCTGTGTGACCTTGGTCACACCACTCGGGGAGGTAGTAACCTGTACCTCCCTCAGAAGATGCTACAAGACAGTGTAATCATAGAAAATGAGGGTTGGAGGGAGCTCAGGAGGTCACATCTAGTCCACCCCCCTGCTCCAAGCAGGACCAGCCCCAACTAGATCATCCCAGCCAAGGCTTTGTCTACCTGGGCCTTAAAAACCTCCAAGGATGGAGACTGCACCACTTCTCTAGGAAACCCCTTTCAGTGCTTCACCACCCTCTTAGTGAGAGAGTTTTTTCCTAATATCCAAGCTAAACTTCCCTTGCTGCAACTTGTAATCCTTGACTGAAAGGAGGTATTGATCAACAAGCCATTATACCTCAATTGAGTGCATATCCTTTGTTTTCAAGGCACATGGCCATCAATATCAGGAAAGCCCAGATCTGCTGAAATATGGTGTGCCTTTGATTTTTGGGTAAGTAATTCTGCTCATTCCAAAGCTTCATGCTGTGCTTTGTTTGCGGTCTATTAATTCTTCATAGCAAGCATGTCAAGCCCCCTTGCTCCAAGCTTGCTTTTTTTCTACAAGATGAAATAAATGGCAGGAAAAAAGAATAAAAACCTCTATGTTGGGACATTTGGTCGCAAAGGAACACAAAGGATTCAAGAAAGATTCTCAGATGGGAAAAGGTCATGCTGTATTTGACCCAAAAAGCCCACATCAAACACCGCTGAGACAAAATCTCCCTCTTTCTCAAGAAAGGACAGGGATTTTTTTCAGATCATGCTTTGTATTCTCGTCTCACTGTATAAACAGTGTGAGAAGAAAGAGAAGTCACGTCCCGCCGTCTCGTGAGGCTGCTGACTAGAGCCAAGCGCTTTGGGAACGCTGCAAGAAGGAGTTTCGGGGGTCTTAGAGCTGTTGACAAACATTAATGAATGAAAACTCCTTTCCCCCTGCAAGGTAGAGACATCTTGTTCCTGTTCTACAGACAGGGCAACTTTGGCACAGGAGGCTTTCAGTGACTTATCTGAATTTACTGTGATTCATGAATTCTGACTCCCGGTTCTCCTATTCTATCGTGCAATGGCCGTGATTCAGGGAAATACGTGCATTGTTACGTCCTGTTGACTTCCATTGGATCTAAACATGCACTTGAATGGGAATGCCAGATAACGCCGTACTTTTGAACAAGGAGGCTCTCGGGAATTGGGACCCATTAGGTACAAAAAGATGTCGTCTTACCATGAGGATGGAGGAGCTGTGCCCTCGCTTTGTGTTTACCTGTTTTGAGAAGAGAGACGTCTGGAGAGAGAAGGGAGAGCTGAAGCTTGAAAAATTCGGATGTTTTAAAGACTCTCTGTTCAAAGTCTTCCAGCGAGACGTGTTGTTCAACCAGCTGCCACGCTGGGTCTTCGGGCCAATGGGTTTCAATGAAGTATTTTGGGTCAGTGAGAAAGAAGAAGTCATCGTGTCTGCCAGAGTGGGAAAAGGATACCAAAAGTGAGGTTGCTACACAGATTGCCAATTGCTTAACTCACGAGCGAGACCTTATGAGGGGGATAAGGCAAAGTGCCGCGTTTATTGATTAAGCGCTTACTACACACACCACATTCATACCCCGATTTCTGTTCTGCGCTGGTATACGTTACCAGTCTTATTGGTGCTTGGATCAACTTAGTGGAGCAGCCAAATTGATCATGAGTAGGAGCCGGGCTCCTGCCAGTCCATCTCATCAGATGAACCAATGCTTCAGGATGACATGCAGAACGAGACCCAAAATTGATACATCTTGCCCCATCTTTTATAGCCTTGCCACTTCCCCCAGTCCTCTGGGCTTTTGCTGGGTTATCACTGTGTTCTTCCTTGAAGGTCGATTGCCGTTGTTCTCTCGCTGTTCTGGGGCAGATTCTTCTTGTTTTGGTCTTTCATCTGTCTGCATTCTTCAGCCAGTCGCCAGCTGATGTTTTTTTTTTTCCACAAACACACTCTCACCCATATAGCATGCAAAAGAGTAAAAGGTCGAGCACTTATGTCAAACTACAGAACAATACAAAATGGAGTTTCTTAAGGCAATGCAAAACTCAAGAAAACACATAAAATTAAAAGCAATAAGCAAAAAGTCTATTTGTATAACAAGGTCACCACGCAACAGGAGAGCCTGAAGCCCTAATTCAGCACTGATGGGAAAGGGAGCTTCTGCGTGGCATAAATGAACGGCCTCAGAGGTAGCACAGTGACATCTATTATCATTTGACTTGTGCACAATCAGGCCAAACCTATTTTTTCTCTCCATACCCGCTAGACCACAACTTCATGGACATGTTGATAGGGTAACAAATATGTGACATTTCAGTCAAATCTCTCTCTTAGGCACGTCAGCTAATCATAATCCCACAGAAGCATACAGGGTAGAGTTACCAAAGACTCAACCAGCCATCATTGAAGTTGGCTCAGCCCCTTGGTGTAGATCAAGAGGGGCAGCAGGGCAATTGTATTGCTAATGGAGACTGCTATTTCCCCTTCCTAGCCTGCTTTGAGCTCCTCTAATATAGATGCTGAATGCATGGATTTCCTCTTGCTGAGGATCTAAATACCGAGGGACTGAACGGAAAGCCCTTGCACTCGAAAGAAGCCTGTCCAACTGATCTGGGACGTCTTCCTAGGGCACAACAAACGAAATAATCCTGATTCCTTCAGCTTTTCCTCATCAGTCATGTTTCCAGGCCTTAACTTTTGTTACTTTCTACTAGCCTCTATCTAATCTGTCCACATCTTTCTTCAAGTGTGGGGCCCAAAATTAGGCACAGTACTCCTGATGAGGCCTCACAAGTGCCAAAAGAGTGGAAGAACCACTTCCCTTGATCTTCAGGTGACTCCTGTTAATACAACCCAGTAGCCTCTTGCCTTCTTTTTGTTTTGCACCAAGGGCACACTGCTGGCTCATATTCAGCTTCTGGTCCACTGTAACCCCCAGGTCCTTTTCTGAAGTACTGCTGCCAAGCTAATCATTCTTCAATCAATATTTGTCTTGAAAGAGCGACTTGGAGTTTCCTTCCTAATTGCCATCTCTCAACCACGATGGATGTATTTTCTTTGATCTTTCCTCACAAATCAGTCCTTAATAGGTACTTCACCAGTCAGGGTTCATGCTTTTTGAGCCCTCTCTGTTTCCTTCATACTGAGATGCCTGGAAGAGAGAATGGTGTTCACAGACACTTTAGACCAGAGCCACCTCGCTTGACCTCCGGCGTTACCTGGAGCAGAATATTTCCTAGCGATTCCTGCCTCAACTCTGTCCCTGTGGTTTAGTACGGCATCCAGTCACGGTTGAAAGTTGTTTCAAAGATTTAACTACCCTCTTGGTTAAAAATGTTCACCTGATTTCTAGTATGAACTTGTCGAACTTTTTAGTCTTTAGCCACTGGGATTGCTTTGGCCTTTGTTTGTTGTGCGAAGGACCCGGTGTGACCCAGACCCACAAAAAGCAGCAATCCTTTGCCTGTTCTGAGTGCCCCGCGAGTGGATGCATCCCCACAAGATGTGCTGCTGCTACTTGTCCCCAGGGAACACCAGTGCCCGCATGTTGTGGGACGTGGCACGTTGCCTCAGGTGGGGTAGAGGAGGCGTACCTGGGTGCTGGGGGCTGTAGCCACAGCGATCCAGCAGCAGGGAGCCTGGAGCGTGGCTCTGGCTGGTCAGGTTCTTGTTTCAGGTTGTGCGCGCTGCTGCCACGTGTGCCGCCCCACTTTTAGGTGTGGGGTTTTTTGACCCCATGATCTCCCAGCATCAAAGCCCCATCCCCCACACTGCAAATTAGCAGCACGGGGAACACCTGCATGTGTGGCACATGCAGTGTGCACGCTCGTCTGGGTGTGCCCAATGAGCCTACTCTTTTCCCCCCGCACACTCGCAAAAAACAACCCCAAGCCCCTAACGTTTTAAGTAGTTCCAAGTAAAATAATTGCCCATTAGTAATTCCACAATGACTTCATTATGCAGCATTAGAGTAAAAAGAAAGTGACAACTTCATAATATAGCTAATGGAGAATTATTAAATTACACAAATAATTTTTGCTAGTCATTATTTACTTAGTCAGAATGTGCTGAGAATTTGCAAGTAATTATATCTAGCCCCGCATAATGATAAAGTTGCTGTGGCAATGGAGATTAATTGTGTGAGGAGTGACACGTATTTTTAATTAAAACAAGTGGCAGGGAAAAGGTATCATTTGATTATTCCTTAAAAGCCTCTATTTACAACGCGGGTGACTTCTGAATTTGCATTTTCAATTAAAAAACACAACGGTGCCATTCTCTGTTCTGATCTTAACGCTTCAGATTTTCATTCCTCAGGTGCCTCTCAGCTTGCAAAGGGACTTTTTAAGACTCCCACTTCTGGGTTGAAGTCAATCTTATTGAAATCAATGTGCAGGCTTCTTTCGAGTGCAAGGGCTTTCAGTTTAGTCCCTTGGCATTTAGATCCTCAGCAAGAGGAAATCCATGCATTCAGCATCTGTATTAGAGGAGCTCAAAGCAGACTGGGAAGAGGAAATAGCAGTCACTATTGGCAATACAGTTGTCCTGCTGCCCCTCTTGATCTACACCGAGGGGCTAAGCCAGCTCCAATGCAAGTCGATGGAAACATTGCCGCTGACTTGAACTCTGAAGCAGAGGCGTAACAGGGCATTTGGGCCCCCAGGGCAGCAGCAACCCGTGGAAGCAGCACTGACTTCCAGCTGCTGCCTTGCTGCTGGAGCAACTGTTATTGTTCTGCCCTCCTCTTCCCCAAGTGACTGGATCTTCTGTCCTGATCGTTCCACCTTACTTAAGCTGCTAGACTGAAGGACTCTACTATAGTCCTCTTTGCATAGTTAGAGGAAAGAGGGGTACATGCATCAGATAGGCAACTGCATGGCCAGGATGAGGCAGGAATAGCTCCTATGGGTCCGATGGCACAGGCTACAATAGCATGCGCCAAGGTGATGGGTGTGCAAGAAGGTATTTAATCCATAGAGGTCCCTCTGCAGTGCTCTAAACTGGAGCTGGCAACCTATGGCCTGCAAAGTGATTTTATCTGGCACGTAAAGCAGGCCGCGTTTAGTAAGCTTTGTGCAAGAATGCACCACTTAGGGGTCGATTATCTAAAAAATGCCACCTCTGCTTTGCCTTAGGACCGAATCGGCATCCCTGGCCTGCTCTTAGTGGAAGGGTGTTGCTGACCCCTGCTCTGGGCCATAAGATCTCGACCTGGACAGCCTAACAACCTCCATGGGCATGAAGTCATGTTTTAGGGACTCGGTGGTGACAGATGACAGAACAAGGAGCAATGGCCTCAAGTTGCAGGAAGGGAAGTTGAGGTTGGATATCAGGAAAAAAATTTCTCACAAGAAGGATAGTAAAGCAGTGAAACAGGTTACCCAGAGAGATGGTGGAGTCTCCATCCTTGGAGGTGTTTAAGACCCAGGTAGACAAAGCCTTGTCTGGGATGATGTAGTTGGGGCTGGTCCTGCTTGGAGCAGGGGGTTGCACTAGATGTGACCTCCTGAGGTCCCTTCCCACCCTCGTTTTCTAAGATTCGATGATTCATAGGGCCAGATTTTATTGCACCTATTAGTTGTCTGAACTCCCCTCCCCCCTCCCCAAAAAAATAAAAATAATGCTCCTGCTTTTTTGCAACATGCCATCTTCTTCGCCTTAAGGCTAAGTCATACAAGGCAGTGAGGAAGAGGAGGAAGACCTATCCACCTCTTGTGTTAACTGGCTTTCAAGGACTTCCAAGGGGCCTAGTAGAGGAGGGTCTGATACCTGTCATAACTTCTTGATGGCTGGAGGGGAAGACGGTCTTGAATGTTTTTTTTTCCTCCATGATGTAAGGTGGGGGTGGTTGCACACAGTAGCTGAGAGCTGCTGGTGCAAGCATGTCAGCGCTTCGTGTGTTCCCGTAGGACTTGAGCTGGGCGTCTTACCTGGGAATGAACCGTCTCTTCTCCACATCCACGATGCCCGCGCCCCAGCAGGTGTCCAGCAGGTGCCACTGCCCTTCCAGCTGCACGGCGTTCCACATGTGGCTGGATTTCTTCTGCAGGCAGCTCAGGCCTTGTCGGTATCCGGTGCCTCTCCCATAACCTGGCACTCCAACGCAGCTCAAACCTACTTCCCTGGAAGAATACGGTTGGTATCACATGTAACCACAGGTTAGGTTGGCCACCGGTCAAATGCAAGCATCATACACCATTGGCCACTCAAATGAATTGATAGACCGTGGTTGCCTAAACTCTTTTCCTGGCTATTTTGCAGTCCAACAAAGGGAATTTACACTCAGATGGTTGTTGTTAAGCTCATTGTTCCTGCATTACTATTTGTTTAAGAGGTTTGTGGTGATTGTAAAGGTTAGTACTGTCCTTAAATTGTTATTCATTCAGACCGAATGATTCATTTTGGATTAAAAGGGTGACAAATACATGGAAGAGCCAAAGAAAAGGCTGCAAAAGTGACAGAGAGAGAGCATGCATCTTACGTATATCCTTTTGGACAGCCTGCATGGAAACAATCATGGGCTGCATTGTTTCTAGCTGGGAGAGTCATTCATAGAGATTCAGCATGAGGTAGTTCAAGGGGGTTGTACCTGCACATTTCCTGGCATAAATAGGCATAACCGGAGCAGACACCTCTTCTGGTTTTCAGGACTTGTTCAGGCATGTGGATCTTCTGAGACAGCCCCAGGAAGCCATCCACATCATACTCTATGGGGAGGAAATGTAATCAGCACCATTAGCCAGAGGTCTTGTCTAGTCCTCTCATGAAAGGAAGCTGGTGATCCCTTTGAAAGAGTCCCTCCATGGGGGGAAGTGGCTGTTGCTTTGGTTATTCCAGCAACGGATTGCCACAAATGCATTATACTGCACACGTGGACTCACTATGTGTTGATGCATTAGGAAGGTAATGCATTAGACTGCCCTGGATTCAAACCCTTAAATTAATAATGATCACCATGGAGTAACACCTAGGATAACATCTTTTGTACATTAGCACAGAATTAGCACTAGTACAGTGGTGCTCAATCGCTCTGGCTCTGCAGACCAGACGTGCGGTGCATGGTCAGCACATGAGGTCAGTCCACTGCTCTGATCCACTGCACCAGCCTAGCTCCATGCACCATCTGTCTGGGGAGTGACCCCAGATGCTGGATCCAGCCTTGGAAGGACCTGGCGCACTAGATACAGCCACAGCCTGACCCCATGCATTGCACCAACCCCATGCACCCATGTGACCCACGCTGCGGGGTCGCATCATCCAGCCCATGGGGTTTCTTATGGGTCCAGAAATTTGGCAGTAGGGGAGCAATGGCAGCCTTAATTCCTGCATCTCTCAACCGTGGCAAGTAGCACTGCTAACTCTACCCTGCCACCAATATTTCTGCACTTGTGGAGAGCCCCGTGAGCTGGATGACCAAGCTCCATGGGTCAAATCCAACCCAGGGATTGCAAGTTGAGCACCACTGGCCTAGTACACCCCAAGCAGCAGCTCATCGCCACAGGGAATCCAAAGGATTCATAGATTCAGGATAAACTGAGGCTGGCAAGAAGAACGAGGTATGATGGATGGAGCTCGCCGCAAGTTACTTGCTCACTCCTGTGGCTCATGGGGTAGTGAGCATTGGGGTGTTTTGGCCTTATGCGAGTTCAAGCAAATAATGGCAAGCGACTGTCATTCCAAGAATGTCCCGACCCACATGTTTCCAAACCCATGTGTGTCTGTTCCTAATTTTGGCCAGATTGGAAGTATTGATTGTCGTGAGTGATGGTCTTAGGAGCTGCAAGAACCAGTGTGAAGAGTGGCTCCGGCTCTGAGGAGGCTGGAGAAGGTGTTTCAGTAGCACGGGGGTGGATGGTCCAGTCTCCATACGGACCACTGGTTCCCAAATGTTGGAGCCCACTGAACTACTCCAGCTTCTCAATGCTTTCTACATTGCCAGTGGTTTTTGACTCCACTCCTTGTATTAAGCGTGAGAGAGAGAGTCAGAAGCTACAACAGGCCCAGAGAAAGGGGTTCTCTGTAGCTGCTCTGGCCCCAGAGCAAACCAGATGATGAATTGTTTCTCAGCCCCAGTCCCTCCACTCCTAACCTGTAGGAGCAGACATGGGCTTCTCTCTTTTCTGGGAGCAGCTCAGACCTCTCTGTGCAGCCAGCAAATCTTATGATGGGAGGGGGCCGAGAAGCATAGCTGTGGTTCCCCTACTTACTTCCTCTACTCCTGCCACCTTGTCCACAGCATCATGGACGTAGCCCTATCGCTCTCTTGCCATGGCTAGAATTGCAATCTTCTCCGAGTGGAGGTATAAAGGCTGCCGCAGCACAGTCCTACACTATGTATTGTCTATCCCCTCCTCTCTTACACACCCACAAACACCCCCCCGCCGGGTGTTTGCAGCACAGAGAAAGCCAAGAAGGCTGCCTATTGCAGCAAAGCGGGATTCAGACATTTATCTGAACCACTAGTGCAACTCGGATGGGCCTGGCTACTCCTCATCCTTCTTAGGTTCCTGTTTCCTTGGGTGGTGTGGCCTATGGAGGCCAAGGACATCATTTCAGGGTCAGCGAATAGAAAGCCATTGTGTACATGACTTTTTCCAAAGAGGGTCCTCATGGAAGACCAAACCATGGTGCTCATCCCTCTCCTCGATCCAGACATGAATTGTTCAGCCTCGTTTCCCCTTTCACAATGAGGACTGGCTTATGGAGAAACCGATTAACATCTGCAGTACACTCCCTCCCTTTCACGGTCAGTTATTCAGTATAAACCTCCCTCTGCTTCTCGACAGCTAAGTAAGCAAACATCATACACGAGGACTGCTGTTGAGCATGGACCCAAGCCCAGGTCTCTCATGTCATCCATGAGTGTTTTAATCCCCAAATCTCCCCCTTCTTCCTCAGTTGAACCTCAAATCAAAGCACAGGCCAAACTGAAATGGAAAATGTACTTACCAATGTTGTGACACAACCACATCCAGATCGCTCTCACCATCTCCAGTTTGCTCTGGGCCTCCTCCGTAATGAGCCGAATGATGGTCTGGACCGATGACAAACCCTGCCTTGACTTTATCTGGGGCAGACCAGATTTTATGTGGTTACCTCAAGCATGTGTCACAAAACCCATGATGCATTAAGGGCTGTGGAATGACTGATTTTTCCCAGTTTGGTGGCCTACTCGAAAAATTTAATGGAAAATTCATTTTGGGTTGAATCAAACCTGAAATTTTTCAGTATATATTTCAAACGATAACAACAACAATAATAATATCTATAACTATAATAAAAATACTGCAATAATAATAACAGTAACAACAACAATGATAATAGGAAGTGTTTTTCTGGTTGAATAAAATGTTTTTGCTTTCAGCATTTCTTATAAAACAAAGGACTAGACTCGCAAATCAGAAAAAGATGCTGGGATGGTATTCCCTCCCTCCCCCCACCTCTCTCTTTATAGCCAGGTACTTAACCCTGACACTGAAATGGGTTCAAGTCCCCTCGTCTTGGTTCAGTCCTGAGAGGGGTTACATCCAAGGGCAATCACTTGGCGAGAGGGTATTTTAGGCTGGGTCAAGCACTTCTCTTGAGTTTTTTCCACTTTGTAGAGCTACTAACGTATTTACTGGGTCAGAGAGTGGGAGAGCCACTCTTCAGGCTGTGTGTCAGGACATTTGCCTCAGGGGTGGGACATCTCAAATCTAGCCACCTCCTCTATTAATGCTTAGGTATTATAATAAAAATAGAGCAGATATAGCCTGGGGCTGGAGACTGTAGGCCAGAACCCAGGTCCAAATTGGGCAAAAAGTGTGGTGGTACCTGGGCTTCCAACTGAGTGTCCTGAACATCGGGCTACAGGGTGACAGCTCAGAAGTGCCATCACCTCTTTAGTTTTGTGACTAGCATCCAAGTCCAAGCATGTTTTTGGTTTGTTTTTTCATTTGCCTGAAACTATTTGATGACCTGATTCAGGTCAATGGCACTACAGTTGTCCCTATAATGACTGTTTAAAGAAATGTCTATCCATAATTCATTTATTTTTCTGTCTGTGGGTCATTTTTATGGTGCTTATCATAGAGCCAGATTCTCTTACTTGCTCAAGCCCATCGGCCTCTTCCATTGGGGTAAAAAGTTCAGGACGCTGTCATATCTTTCCAGGGAGGGATTCCCCCCTTAGCTCCAAGGGTGCTTTAAACTAAATTCAAGCCATGGCTGTCTTAGAACTGGCCCTAGGATCAGACACTACCACTGGTTGTTATGTAGTTTCTATCCCTGGTTGTATCTATAGATCCTGGGCACACCAGAGATTTTAGTCCATAGGCTCTTAGTGCAATGTAAATGGGCTTGGTCTCTCCACTTGACTACCCTGGATTAAGTGATTGGGTTTCCTCCATCAGACCGATCCCTTAAATCCTTGGGTAATCCCTACCCAGGCTGACTGGTTGTGTCTACATGTGCATTTACACCAGCTTAACTTTACTGCGCAGTAAACAGGAGTAGCCTGGCATCTACACATGCAGGCATTAACGCTGTGTGTGTACTGATTTGGGATTAAAATTAATCCCAAGCCAGTCCACACACACAGTGTTACCGTGCAGTAAGGTGTCTGCACGTGCATTACTGTGCAGAAGCTAATTGGGCATAACTTTGATGCCTGCATGGTGCAGGTATCAAATTTATGCTCAACTCAATGTCAGTCACCATATTTACTGCACAGTATGGGCATGCACATGTAGATGCGTGCCCTTCCTGCATAGTAATTTCAGTTACTGCACAGTAAATGCGCACATGTAGACGCACCCACTGCTTCCCAAGTGTCTTAAGACCTGTTTCGGCTTTAACTATGAAATTTAAGAGATTCCCAGTAGGTGTCTGGTCAAAAGAAGGGAACCAGCAGCTCAGCTGATATATGGGAAGAGGGAGGGGGGATGTTCTTGATCCCATGAAGGACCTGTGGCACTGTGGCTGAGATCGTGACCAGTGGGGATTCCTGCTGACAGAACGCACTTGCTGGCCCCATGCATGGCCATGGGGGGAGTCCTTTGCCGTCCTGGTGC